CACCACCACCACCACCACCACCTTCAAGGGCCGTCTCTTCCAGAGACGGAGCGTGCCGCCGAGCCTGCCGTTACCTGGAGAGCTGGGGGCGGTTGGTGCCAGCGTTGAACAGAGTAGGCGAGGCGTGCGTGAACCACCTCTCGGAGAGGAGGTTGTAGGTTTCGATGGCAGCGTCAATGTCCTGCTTGTGGATGCCCACCGCCACCCGCATCAGCATGTGCTGGGGGCGCTCAGCCACTAGGAGCAGAGGAGGAGACGGTTTCACGATCCACAAACAGGGAAGAAACCCCGCTTCTTCCAGAGGCAGGAGGTTCGAGTGAAGGCGGCAACTTTCATGACAACGGCTTTGTCCCCCTTTTGTCCCGTTTAGGATTCCAGCCGCAGCAGGAGAGGTAGGAGCGAAAGCCGAGGGGGGGGAAAACCTTTGCGGTTCTGATCAAAGGCCCAAGTGAGCAACCTTTTTTCCAGATCAAGAAACAGAAGAAGCCTCTCTTCATGCTTTTAAGGACCGCCGCCTCCCTCTCTCCGTGCGGTGGAACCAGGTCTCACCCACTTTCTCGTCGTTAAGCAAGCGCAACCTTTGCCAAAGGACTGGATGCCCGGCCACCTATAAACACCCACTGACTAGGGCTGCTGCTGCCCCCATAAACCAGCCCCTGAGCAGGCTGGGTCATAAGAAGGCTACATCCCTCCCTGCTTTGTGGAAAGCCAGTTTTTTTCCTCTCTATTTAAAATATTTCTATGCCACCCTTCACCAAGAAGCCACCTTACAAATAATAAAAATAATCTGATGTTTGCACCAAGGGAATCAAGACTTAGCACTTACCTTTAGAGTTGATTTTCAGCAGATACGAGCGCTCAAGCGTCTTAAAAGAAAAGAGACGGGAGTGAAAATAATTATAATGACGAGGGTCTAAACCCTTTGTTGCCAAGCGTCCAACAGTTCATATCAGCCTCTTGACAATCTCTCAGCACTGATGTGAAAAGCTGACACGTGCCGGCTTTTGATTATTCAGAATGGCACTTTTTCACACATGGGCTTTTCAGGAGATGTCACTTCTCCTGAAACGATTGGCTTTAAAACTAGGCTGGGAGTTGTTCTAGGAGAAAGTGGACAATCCTGTGGTGCTTGGCCTGATTTTAAGAGCCTGCTGCAAACCAGCAGGCGGGGCCTTTGGTCGGGCTGGCTGGCTCCCTCCAAACAGCCCTCTGGAGAAGGACGAGCAGAAGGCAGAGAAAAACGAGGCAGCCTCAGTCCAGACAGAAGGGAGGAGGGAAACCAGAGGCCGACCCTCTGCCTTGGATCCACCAACCGCCAATCTGTGGTTCTCAACAGATTACCCTTCAGATGATAATCACACACACACATACACACACACAAACACCCACTCCAGAAACGGAAGTGTTCTGCTGCTTTTAAGACTAGCACATTCTATAGGGTGTGTTTCGTGTGGGTCACGCTCGGCTTCTTCAAGCACATCATCCCTCTGGAGAAGGTAACCCTCATCAGGAAAACGCTTCCGTGCTCCTGTTCAGGGACATGCGTGACCCTTGTACGAAGCAAGAGGGAGGCTTCAGCAGGCATGCTGTGCAAACTCAGCATGTCTCCTAAGCCACACATCCAGCCCTCTGAAGCACAAGACAAGGCCAGGAGAAACATAAAAGTTTCAACAACAAAGATGAGAGGATTCCCTAGCAGTCAGGAATCGGTGTGAGCTCTTTGTCTCCAACTGGTCAGGACTCCACTGGAGGGGGTCACAGGGTCAGAGGCTGCAAAAGGTGGCCGGAAGCGGGAGGTCAGAATTGAGCCCCAGCTTGCCTTCCCA